CTGTTCCCTGGCCAACATCTGTCTCAGGCTTGCTGCAGTGTTCCAGAGAAGCTGTGCACAAGCTGGAAGAGCAACACCTCATTTTCTTCTTGGGGACCCTGACTCGATATCGAGTTCAATAATTTTCGGGCCTAACCTCTTCCCATGTCCCAGCCCCCTACCCCACACACCAGGCCTTGTTACCACATAGCCTGCCACTACACACCCCCTGTTGTTAGTCACTAACAGTCCCCATTAACAACTATTCACCCTTCTAGCCTGATCGTTAGCAACTGCTCTGTCTGTCCAACTGTCTTTCTCTCTCTTTGGGCTCTATCCTATCGTTTACTCCCTACCCCACCCACCTCCCTTTTTTCTGCATATAAACTGACGTTTTCCCAGCCACATCAGTTCTGAGGAAGGGTCACCAGACCTGAAATGTTAACTCTGTTTTTCCTCCACAGATGCTGCCAGACCTGCTGAGCTTTTCCAGCAAGCTGCAATAAAAAATTTGTTGGTTGGTGTTCCCAGGTCTTTCGACTTTGTGCTCACTGAGAGTAATCATGAGATTACCATAACAGCAATAGAGGCTGCAGCTTGACCAGCCTGGGGATGAGCTAGAGCTATATTACCTCTGGAGGATACATCAGAGCCTTCTACACTGTGTATTAGACTTTGTTGTTAAGATGAATTTAGTGTAATTTCTTTTCACTTGGGAGGATCCTAAATGTAATTGAGATTGTGTTTTGAATCTCGTTCCTAATCAAAGTAATATTGGAGCAGCCATTATTTGCATTATCTGTAAGTAATTGCATTTGGAGAGGCTGAAGGATATTTGATGTTATAAATGTTACGCAGGTGAATCAAAAAATAACAGAAGAGAGCTGTTGAATCTGTCTGGAGTCTTGTTTCCATGAATCCCTCTATATTTGTGGTCTTCAAATGTTGATCCAATTCCATTTAAATATGTTTAACTCTGCCTAATTAGCAACTGTTTTTGAAGCATTCTGTGTTCCACTAACCTGCAGTCTGGAAAAATGATCTTTTAAGTTTTGGGGATAGTGGGAACTACCGATGCTGGAGAATCTGAGATAACAAGGTGTAGAGCTGGATGAACACAGCAGGCCAAGCAGCATCAGAGGAGCAGGAAGGCTGACATTTCGGGTCTAGGCCAATCTTTAGAAATGGGGGAGGGGAAGGGAATTCTGAAAGAAATAGGGAGAGAGGGGGAGGCAGATAGAAGACGGATAAAGGAGAAGATAGGTAGAGAGGAGACAGACAGGTCAAAGAGGCGGGGTTGGAGCCAGTAAAGGTGAGTGTATGTGGGGAGTTAGGGAGGGGATAGGTCAGTCCAGGGAGGACGGACAGGTCAAGGAGGTGGGATGAGGCCAGTAGGTAGGAGATGGGAGTGGGGCTTGAGGTGGGAGGAGTGGATAGGTGGGAGGAAGAACAGGTTAGGGAGGCGGGGACTCGGGGACTTGGTTTTCAGGTAGTTGCCAGAGATGGAAACAGAGAAGTCCAGGAAGGAGAGAGAGGATGACCTCTCTGTTTCCATCTCTGGTAACCACCGAGAAACGGATATCCATTTCAAGCTGACCGACTCCCACAGCTACCTAGAATACACCTCCCCTCACCCACCTTCCTGCAAAAATGCTATCCCCTATTCCCAATTCCTTTGCCTCTGCCGCATCTGCTCCCGAGATGAGGCATTCCACTCCCGGACATGCCAGATGTCCTCATTTTTCAAAGACCGCAACTTCCCCTCGACAGTGGTCAAAAACGCCCTCGACCGTGTCTCTCGCATTTCCCGCAACTCATCCCTCAAACTCCCTCCCCGCAATAACAACCAAAATAGAATCCTCCTCGTCCTCACGTACCACCCCACCAACCTCTGGATCCAATACATCATCCTCCAGCACTTCCGCCATCTGCAATCTGACGCCACTACCAAAGACATTTTTCGCTCCCCACCCTTATCTGCTTTCCGGAGGGACCGCTCTCTTCGTGACTCCCTTGTCTGCTCCACACTCCCCACCAGCCCCACTACCCCCTGCAACCACAGGAAGTGCTACACCTGCCCATACACCTCCCCCCTCATCCCCATCCCAGGCCCCAAGAAGACCTTCCACATCAAACAGATGTTCACCTGCACATCTGCTAATGTGGTATACTGTATCCGCTGTTCCCGATGTGGCCTCCTCTGCATCGGGGAAACCAAACGGAGGCTTGGGGACCGCTTTGTGGAACACCTATGCTCGGTTCGCTACAAACGACTGCGCCTCCCAGTCGCGAACCATTTCAACTCCCCCTCTCACTCCTTGGACGACATGTCCATCCTGGGCCTCCTGCAGTGCCACAATGATGCCACCCGAAGGTTGCAGGAACAGCATCTCATATCTCGTCTGGGAACCCTGCAGACCAACGGTATCAATGTGGACTTCACAAGCTTCAAAATCTCCCCTCCCCCGACCGTGTCCCAAAACCAGCCCAGCCCGCCTCTTTGACCTGTCTGTCTCCTCTCTACCTATCTTCTCCTTTATCCATCTTTTATCCATCTCCACCTCTCTCCCTATTTATTTCAGAATCCCCTTCCCCTCCCCCATTTCTGAAGATGGGTCTACACCCAAAACGTCAGCTTTCCTGCTTCTCTTTTAAGTTTTGGGTTTTGAATGATGGACTAGTGATGGGGAATTCTGAAACACGGCTCAGAATGCTTCTATCTTTTTCATGTCATTCTCTAAAGCCAATACAGGAAGAAATAACTATTCACAAAATTTGTAAAATTCAACCCTTTTACATCGTAGTCTACAGATTGTACAAATGATAACACACTAATATTGAAAATTCCTAAGCTTGAATCATAATTATTGAACAGTGATAATGACAATGTAATGAGATGGAACAGCATGGTGTTTTTTTAACAAGGGTGAAAGTACCTGAATAATCTAATGATAAATCAAATTTGCATTCATTTTCCATATTTTCACAGAAAACCTTCTGGAGCTCGACCTGTATTATTTTTATGAGATCCCCTGTTGACAAGGAGCATTCACTTCCCGACATTTCATAGACTGAACCTGTGAGAGATAAAGTGCATACAATAAAACAGGAAAATCAGTAAGACATGACAGTGTAACAGTTAAAAACATTTCATATCCAAAGAATTTGTTAATGGGGCTTTATCCCAAGTATTATGTGATTGACTCTATAATGTGTTCCCCAGGACACACTCTGAGATAAACTTTGACCTCACCTGGAGGACCATCAGCTCAGTGAAAGATGCTCTTTTGTCTGCCTGAAACTTATTGGTCTTCCAATGTAAAAAGTTGATCTCAACCAAGTGATGCAGACTGGCACATTCTGGATTCAGGATCTTTCCTGAAGGTCCAGGATAATGTGCTGAGGATGCACTAAAGCTTGGGGCAGTCCCCGCCAAGATGTCGTGGGGAAAGACCACAGACTTTCTGCCAAAGGACAACGGGCGTCTGTTCAGTTATCAGACCCTCCTCATTGCCTCAGAATGAATGTTAATAATGTCCTGCATGAGTAGAAAATCCCTTTGATTGCAACTTCAGGGAAGCATGAAGAGTGTCAAATTCCATTGTGTTTGTTTTTTTATTCTGCTTTGCAAAGACAGTACAAAACTGTTTTAGTCCCTTTTGTACATACATGAAGGTTTTTTATGGATTAAGTATAATTTTGCAATTAAAAAAAGATGTGATTGACTTGCCAAAGCAGTATCACACCATTCACCTGCCAAATTTAATTTGGGATGGGAGTGATGGTGATTATTGATTCATTTGAAAATGGGTCCTTTGTGCAAATGAGAATTAGAAGCATTGCATTTGAACAGTGTTTAATGAGTTTGAGCCATTCCTGTCTCTGTGCATTTTTAACATTTTTGCTTTATCCTCTCAAAGGATAAAATTTTACCAAATTATTTCTCAACGCCGCTTGTAAATCTGCCAAATGCATCACAAAACATAGAACATCAAGTTATGAGAGCAACACAATTTTTCATTCTCACTGATTCATCTACTGGGTTTTTCAACTGATATGAAAGAGTGATTAAATTCTGCAAAATATGTCTGTAGTTATGGGGTTTGATTTTTGGTTAGTTGTGAAGGATTTTCACCCATTTGGGCAGCCCCTTCTGAATAAGTCGCTAAAATATACATATTTGCATTTTGGGCCATCCTTCTGGTATTGATGAGAATTTCAGGAGAGATGTTTTAAGATCGGCTTGAGTTCAAAATGGTCAAGTGTACGTCAGAAGGAAGAAATTAAACAAAGTGCTTAACATTATGTATTTCCTTTAGAAATTAGAAAGGGAGGAATTGCTTTTTCAGGTTAGATTAGGTAGAATCGCAAAGGTTCAAATTCAAGACAGACAAGACAGTGGTTAGGAAAAAAATTCCTTTGTTTGATGCAAAATCATTCATTTAACATTTCAAATAGAGTGATTTTAAATTTTAGTTTTTGAGTTAAGGAGTGACAATTGCATTGTAAAGCATGTAGTACCAGTTCATGAGCTGAAAACTTTCTAAGTGAAAGCTCAGTGAAATATTAAATTTGGATGACCATATTAAACGAATTTCTGGACTAGTTAGTAATGTATTCAATAGTTATCATTTACGGAGGAACTGACAGATGCTGATTCAATCCATTTCATAGAAACGAGAACTTGTGGTTGGAATTTCCTGTTCTAGATCGAATGCTTCAAGTTAAAGTGGGCCTTGACTGTGATCTTTTGGTTCAATACAGTTTGGTTGTTAAACCAGTGACCATAATGATAACATTACAAAGAACAAAGAATAGTACAGCGCAGAACGAACCTGTCAAGATGCTTCTTAACCATTTCTATTGTATCCACCTCCACCACCTCCTCTGGCAGCATGTTGCAGGCATTTACCACCTTCTGCATAAAAAAAAACTGCTTCTCACATGTCCTTTAAACTTTGCCCCTTTTACCTTAAACCTATGTCCCCAAGTAACTGCCATTTCTGCCCTGGGGAAAAAGACTCTATTCTTTCCATGCCTCTTAATTTTGTCTGTCAGGTTGCTCCTTATCTTTCGACTTTCAAGTGAAAACAAACTATGTTTGTCCAATTTCTCCTCATAGCTAATACCCTCCAAACCAGAATGGAAAACTATTTATGTACCCTCTCCAAAGCCTCCACATCCTTCTGGTAGTATAGCAACTAGAATTATACACAACATTCCAAATCTGGCCTAAATAAAGTTTTACACAGTTGCAAGGTGACTTACTAATTTTTACACTCCAAGCTCTGACTGCTGAAGGCAAGCATGCCATATGCCTTTTTGTCCACCCTATCCATTTGTGTTGCCACTTTCAGGGAACTGTGGACTTGCATGCTTTGATCCCAGGGTATGTTAATGATTCTAAAGGTTCTTCTATTTATTGTATACTTCCCTGCTACATTAGACCTTACAAAATGCTTCACCTCACTTGTCCAGCTTAAACTCCATCTGCCATTTCTCCACTCTAGTCTTCAGTTTAAAGTCTGCAAACCTACTAGTCAGGCCACCTACATTCTCCTCCAAATCATTCATATATATATATTATGAACAACAGGGATCCCAGCACTGATTCGGATGGAACATCACTGGTCATAGATCTCCAGTCTGAAAATCACCCTTCCACCGCTATTCTGTCTTCTCTGACAAAGCCCGTTCTCTATCCTTATTACCAGCTCACCACAAATTCCATGTGACTTCACCTTTTGTATCATGAGTATGATGGTTGATGGACCTTGTCACAGGCCTTGCTGAAGTTCATATAGGCAACATCGACTGCCCTGCCCTCATCAATCATCTTTGTCACTTCCTCAAAAAACTCAAACAAATTTGTGAGACACAAAAAGCCATGTTGCCTATTACTAATAGGTCCATATTTTTTCAAATGTGAACAAATCCTGCCCCTAAGAATCTTCCCCAATAATTTCCCTACCACTGATCTCTAATTTCCCAGATTATCCCTGTTACCCTTCTTAAACAAAGGAGAAATGTTGGCTAATCTCTGTTCCTCTCGGACCTCTCCTGTGACTAAAGAGGATACAAAGATTTCATACAAGGCACCCCCAATTTCATCACCTGCCTACCTCATCATTCTGGAATAGATCCCATCAGGTTCTGGAGACTTGCCTACTTTAATGCTTTTTGAAACAGTAACACCTCCTTTTATATATTGACATGCCCTAGAATATCAATATAACCCTCCCATGACTCACCATCCACCATGTTCTTCTCCTTTGTGAATACTGATGCAAAGTATTTGTTAAGGACCTCATCCACTTCCTCTGACTCTATGCACAAATTCCCTCCTTTGTCCTTGAATGGACCCATCCTTTCCCTAGCTACCCTCTTGCTTGTCATATATGTATAAAACACCTTGGGATTTTCCTTAAAAAATAATTACTATCCTTTAGGATGCTTGAATCCTGTTAAAGATGGAAGAATAATAATAATGTGCTATGCATTATGGTCATTATGTCAGTATACCTTTGAGAGAAATGCTCATGGTATTATTACTGCCTTGCTGAATTTGATCCAAGGTTATAAAAATCTCATATTCCATTTTATCTCTTCTCATTTGAGCATGAACTCTTCTGAAAGCATTCTGCTTTCTTTAGTTAGTCATTCAGGTACTGTGGGTGTAACTGACTTGGCCAGTATTTATTGCCTATCCCTAATTGCTACAGGGCAATTACGAGTCACGTTGCTGTGGGTCTGGATTCACGTGCGCAGGTGAATAGGGAATAAGAATAGGCCCTCAGCTCTTTGAACTTGCTCTACCATTCAATAAGTTCATGGCTGATCTCATTTCAGACTCAACTCTACATTCCTATGTACTCACTGTAACCTTTCGTCCCCTTCGTATTAAAGAATCTCTCTACCTCTGCCATAAAAATATTCAAAGATTCTGCATTTTGATGTTGGGAATTCCAAAGACTCAATCTTCTGAGAGAAAAAAAATCCTTGTCTCAGACTTAAATCGGCTATGACCCCAGACCTAAATTCTCTCATGAGAGGAAACATTCTTTCCACATCCTCCTGGTCAGGACTCCTTAGGATCTTTTATCCATGCCAATATGTTAGTCCCTACACCATGAGCTTTTATTTGCCACAATAACCCTGACATAGCATCTTATCAACTGGCTTCTGGAAATCTAAGTACAATGCATCCACTGGTCCCCTTTATCCACAGCATAAGTTGCTACTTCAAAGAACCCCAATAAATTAGTTAAACATGATTTTCCTTTGACAAAACCATGCTAGTTCTGCCTGATTACCTAAAGTGCCCTGTTACAACGTCTTCAGGAATAACTTCTAACCTTTAGCATAGGCCAGATTAGATAAGGATAGCAGATTTCCTTCTGTAAAGGACATTTGTGAACGAATTTTCTTTACAACAATAAATAGTGTTTGCTTGGTCATAATTAGACCAGCTTTTTAAACATCGGATTTTCCCTTTTTAATTAAAGTCAAATTTTACCATCTGTCATGGTGGGATTCAAACCTATGTCCCTAGGACATTAACCTGTGCCTCTGGATAACATCCAGTGACATTATCACTATGCCACCACCTCCCCATGAACTAATAGCTTAATATTAGCCCAGCCAATTATGTGACTGAAGATTGTAATATTTGTACATAAGTTAGTTGTAATAAATATCTGTTGAATACTTAAATACCATGATATCTTCACACAATTTCTTATGTAATGGGAGATAATTTAAGCATTTCTGCACCAAATAAAAACAAATATGCATATTTCTGCATCAAACAAAACACCCTGTTGGAGGCAAACTCACACGAATATAGAACAAAGGGTCTAATTTTGAACCTTATCTCACAGGAACAAGTCCCATCACGATTCAGGTGAGCTTAATCACTGGGGGACCAGGATTGGGGATTGCTGCATCCTGAAAGTTTCCTGGTTCAATCTCTGATTTGTGTTGAGCGGTCTGATCTCAGCTAGGCAATAGACTTGACGTTTCAAGCAAAAGATGACAATCACCCGAGCCTCATGCTTGTTATCTGGATAGTGCTGCT